TCTTTATATCGTCAACCGTCGTTAACATGTCAAACAAATTTATCTATTGCCTATATTCATTAATTCGATAATTGCATTACCCTACCGTGAAATTCCGCCTCGTTCACATCATAATCTTTCATTTTATTGTCTAGTACCCACCATTTGTCCATGAACCCGATATCTATCACCCTTTTATGAAACGTTAAGTACCTAACTTTCAGATAAGGACAAATCGCTTTATAAAGGGCGCACATCTCGTCGTAATCGTCGAGCCAAATGAATGAAATTATTCCTAAATTCAATCTCCTGACGATGCCTTCATTGTAACACTGGCCTAACCATTTCACGTAATTTTCTGTTATTGGATTACGTACATTCTGTCCTACTTGCATTATCTTTATTGTATTTTGCAGCAGTTCTTCTTTAAACGATGATTCGGTAGGATTGCATCTATTTAAATATACACCGGCCGCTAGGACTGAATAGATAAATTATATTTACTAATGATATGTTTAAATAAATCACCCATCGTTTGAAAGACACGTATAGGATGTCCCAGTTTAAACGATTGTTTTAGAAATGAATAAATTCATGTATTAATAAGCAAACATACTGGAAATGTAGGTAGAAGCCTTCAAGGGATGTTCTTTGCAATCTTTGGCAGCATCCAACGCAGCTTCTTTGTAATCTTTAAAGAGATTCCTCCAATACGTTGCTGTAAAAGAACTATTTCTGTTAAACTGGATCAAATATTAGCTACATATTAAATGAGTTGATTATTCATTCAATGAGAGTCCATTTAAATTTGTATGCTGGTTCAATGTTCACTTACCCCATCGTTCAAAAGCTTTAGGTTTGTTCAACTCATTCGTTTTCTCTGTCGTTGCATTTAACGTGTTGTTCAGGGAACTTGACCATCTCAAAGTAAATCTGTAGCTCCGAAGCTTATGGAGATTCATTTTAAAAAAATTCATAAAAGATATACTAGCCTTATTTTAGAATTTAAGGAAGCACTGAAATTTTAGGCTATGTATGCGCGTACATATACATAATGGCATTGAGATCTTATCCTACTGAAGTCAGTGAACTCCTGTAGGAAGACAGCGCTACAAGCTACAACGGAAATGCAAGATCCAAGCTTGGATCCTATAGTAGATGAAGATTAAAAAGTAAATGAGTTTGAAGTAAGCTGAATGTATGATTATTATTTCATCTTGTTTCTCTGGCCATGCTGTATCCTCTTTAATCATGGTTTCACCCCCTGGGAGCGATCGATCGAGCTCGCCGTCCTCGGTAATTATAATTGTTTACCTTATTAAGTACATAACTTGTTAATTAATGACGACAAATCTTGACATTACGAATTAATATGAATATTGGACCTTTCTTATTTCTGGTAGTTCTTATAGAAATCTAATCCCTCGAGTTTCTCAGAGATCTTTATGAGAATCAATATTAAAAGAGTTATTCTTATTCTAGTTTAAAGAATGTAGGAATACTTGGAGCATAAAAAACTTTATATTATATGTATATATGT